CTGATTCTCAAGCTGGCCAGGATGCTGCGGCTGCGATGTACGAGGAGGAGGAGGAGGAGGAGGAGGAGGAGGAGGAGGAGGAAGAGGCAGAGGCAGAGGATAAGGTGGATGAGGAGTGGGTGGAGGTGGTGGAGGAGCAGTGGGTGGATCCGGTGGAGGAGGCGGTGGAAGTGATGGAATGGATGAGGACTGGTTGGTGGAGATCTGGAGGGCGCGCGACGGTCGCGCCTATGACCGTTTTGGCTCTAGCCTAGCCGCCCTTTGCAGACTCCACCAGTGCAGGCAGTGCCTCTTCCTCCGCGGCGGCCACTGGCCCAAAGCCCCAGGAGACGCCGCGCGGGGATTCTCCAAGTGTTCCGCACCTGCCTGTGCGCGGCCCCTCGTCTTTTGCCAAGTCGTCGGCAGCGGGGCCGCACGCGCGCGCGCGCGAGTGCCTTCCGTTCAGGTGGGAGCGCGTGCGGGTCCAGACCCCCAGCTGCGCCATCACTGGTGCGGGAGGGAGGGTCTCAGTGGGTGGGGCTTTCTGGCTCGTTCCTTGCGGGTCCTTGCGTGATCCCCTCCCTCCTCCTCATCCTCCTCCTCCTCCTCCTTCCCCTCCTCCTCCTCCTCTTCCTCCTCCTCCTCCTCCTCCTCCTCCTCCTCCTCCTCCTCTCCTCCTCCTCGTAACAGATTCAGTTTTTCACAGACTGTGGGAATGTTTGGTTTGTGCAGAGCAGCGCCAGGATTTAGTTGGGCAGTCTATGATAGATAAGGCCTTCGAGGCCAAGGAAGCTGGTTCCCTGGATTTGGTCGTCTTTACTTCTGGAGCTTTTCCTCATCCAGGTGACCATGCCCCAGGTCCGATCAAGCAGCACGGCATGGATGAAGTGGTTCTGGAATATTTCGAGGACGGTTTCAAGGGAGCGGGTTTAGAATTCTCGGGGGCTGATGACCTTCGATTTGCAAAGCACGTTTTCCTGGATGGCAGTTGTTTCAAGTCGGCTGTTGAGGAACTTTCGCGTTCAGGTTGGGCTTTCGTCAGAGTCGCCGACAACGGCGAACCCTTAGGTTGTGGTGCTATGGCCCAGTGTTTGGCCACCTCCCGCAGACTCCTCAGGCAGGGGAATTCTCTGCACTGGCAGCTGCTGGAGTGAACCTCGACGGCCCAGCGTGCATTTATTCTGACTGTGCGAGTGTGGTTTCTGTGTGTTCTCGGGATCCCGTGGACCGTTTGTCCGGGAAGCGAGCCTATGCAGGCTCTGTCCTCGAGTGTTTTTCGGGCGCCTCGGGAAAAGTCCAGGACGTTATCAAGGTCGCGGCTCACAAGGATGTTGACGACCCAGCTATAACTGATGTTGAACGTTTCCGACGGAAGGGCAACTTCCACGCCGACCGCTCCCACGAGTGGGAGTGGGTGAGCTCGTTTTGGCAGTGTCGAATTTGCCTCTGAGGAAAGCGCGGCGCTGATCGCCCGCCGCCCGGCCGTTGTGCTAAGCCTCCTCGGTTGAACATTGATTTGATTTCAGGTAATAACCACCAGTGTGCTCTGATAGATTGCACAGATGGCTCATTTTTATGTATCTGTCTCAAATGCCACCACTACAGCACAGGTGGCAGAATTGTGCACCTGGCCAAGCCCTGTCTCCCAGATGAAGGCGGAGCTGGGCGCACAAACTGGAAGTATGTTTGTTCTGGCCGTCACCCACAGGAAAAGAAACGGATTCGCAATGTCCAGTTTCTTCCTTCGCCGTGGACTGTCGGCGCCTCCATCTCGCCTGTTCAGGCTTTGTCTGCCGACGCCGATGCAGCTTCTGAGGTGGAGGTGGTGGGAGATGTCCAGCACGAGAGGCCTATGCTCGCTCCATCTCCTTTGAGGGGAGGCGAAAGTGGCCTCTCGAGTGGTGCTGTTTGTAATTTCGATGCCGAGGAGGAAGCCTCCCTTTTCCTCTTCTCCCCGGCGGGCTCCGCAGCCGCTGCAGCGGTGCCCGGATCGTCCAGTTCCGTTCTCAGGAGTGTGGCCGATTCTTTCAGACAGGAAGAAGACGAGCAGCCTGTAATTGTTGCTCGTGCTGACTCTGCCCAAGACGAGTCAGACTGAAGACCCCCCTCGGGAGGGGCATGTAGCCGTAGATGTGAAAAACATCCTCCTCCTCCCCCTGCTCCTCCTCCTCCTCCTCCTCCTCCTCCTCCTCCTCCTCCTCCTCCTCCTCCTCCCCCTGCTCCTCCCTGCCCTCTCCCCTCGCTTCCCCCGCGCCCTCACAGGTCCACTCCCCAGCGCCTGCCCCGCACCCGCCCCGGGCCCGTCTGGGTTTTGAAACTCGGGGCAGTTCTGGTTCGGAGGAGGCTCGCTGTGCTCTGCGTGAGTCCTTCCATGGCTGTTCCGCTGGGGCTTCTCGTGCGCCCAGGCGCTTTCGGGGCCTCGCTTGGACTCGGCCCCTTGCCTTTTAGCGTTTCTCACGGCAGCACGACGGCTGTAGTCCTCTCCTTCCGTCCCCTCGCCTCCCACTTCCCTCCCTCGAGGAACAGAGATTGCGCAAGCACAATTTCTCGGAGGTCCGCGCCGATCTCTTGGATCGGCGTTCTGGACCCCCTGGCGGCACTTCTGCTGCCGCCCCTGGCGCGCTCCGACCCGTGCAATCCGCGCGGACCTCCGACAGATGTACCTATGCTCACGCCGTTTTGTTGTTCCTCGCTTCCCCGCCGCCCCCCGCGGCGCCCGTCCTGAGCCCCCTCCCAGCGAGGAGGTGGGCCCCCGGAAGGAGGTGGGCAACGAGAAGACGGGCGGCGTGGACGACTTCGGCAGGAGAGTGTCGGAGCCGGGGCAGGATGCCCGCCACTCCGCCGCGCTCCGAGGCGGGGACTTACCGATAGCCCGCCGCGTGGGAAGTCAATCTTCGGGGGCGGCGGCGGGCGGCGGATACGGATATGTCGGGGCCTCAGGGGGGCCAAATCTATCCGTATCCACTGCCCCATGGTCCTAATTATAGTAGGGCCGCGGACACTTTATGGCGAGCTTCGTTCCACATTCCACCTTGGCGTGCACAGGGTCCTTCCAGTTCATGTGAGGGCTCGTTGCGGGGTCGCCGCTCGTTCCCTAAGCTTTCCTCCTCCTCCTCCTCCTCCTCCTCCTCCTCCTTTTTTTTCCCGGTTCAACAAGCGGAATTGCTGTGTCTCGCCTACACACTGGACGGCGAAACAGAAGCAGGGAGAGGCCGAGGAGCGGAGGAGGCGACGAGGGCGAACAGGCGCGGAGGTGGCCGAAGCAGGACACTCGCCCTGAGAGGCCCGCGCGCTGGCCCGAGGAGGGGAGGGGAAGGAGTTGCTGCGGGGGGCCCGTGGAGGGTTCCCCCGCAGCTTCTCTGGGGCTCTTGCCGGGCCACTCCGGGAAGCGACGCCCCTCGGTGCACCCGAGCGGCCTCCCGGCCGTCTCGTCGGGGGCCGCCAGGGTGTGCGCAGGACGTTTCAGTTTCCACTGTAAGCAGGGCGCCTGTGCGGCCGGACACGCGGCCACGGGAGGAGGAGCAGGAGGAGAAGCAGGAGGAGCAGCAGGAGGAGAAGAAGGAGTTGGAGGAGGAGGAGGAGGACCAGTGTAAACCCAGGAGTCATCGACGATGTTGGAATAAACCCTCCCTCCAAGATCCCTCTTCATGGGCTCCTTCAACGGTTCATCTCCACCGAGAACTGCCTCGTCGGAAGACAAGCGTTTGAAGGTTGAGAAGCATGCCAACACATGGTTCTCGGGATTCCAACGCCACGTCTCAACCTGACTGTTGCGTCTTGACGAGCCTGGATCGTGCCAGGACGCTATTTCTGGGACTTCAACACCGCGAATCAACGAAACTGTTGCGCCCGCATCTGAATCTTTCGAAACACCATTTCTGGTACGCTGATCATGGGAATCCGTGAAGCTCTTGTACACTGTGTAAACGAATGTGCGCGGCGCTAAGGCCAGAGCCACATTTTGAAAACCACCCGCCCTCAATCCGTGAAACTCTCATATTTGTTCAAAACGAATGTGCGCGGCGCTAAGGCGAGAGCCACATATTGAACAGGAACCGCCCTCAATCCGTGAACCTCTTGCAATGGTTTAAAACCCATGTGTGCGGCGCTGCGGCGAGAGCCACGTTTTGAAAACCAGTCGCCCTCAAGCCGCAAAACTCTTGCATGTATTTCACGAATGTGCGCTGCGCTAAGGCGAGAGCCACATGTTGAAAACCACCTGCCCTCCGTATGTGAAGCCGGTGCCAATATTCAAGATTCAGGGTCATAAGTGGTGGTGGTGGTGAGGAGGAGGAGGCAGAGGAGGAGGAGGAGGAGGAGCAGGAGGAGGAGGAGGAGGAGCAGGAGGAGGAGGAAGAGGAGGAGGAGGAGGATGAGGATGAGGAGGAAGCAGAGGAGGAGGAGGACGCGGAGAAGGAGGAGGAGGAAGAGGGGGAGCAGGAGGAGGAGCAGGATGATTTCAGAGCAGGGAGGAGGGAGGCGGGAAGGGGGCCGAGGGAGGACGGAGGAGGGGGTCATGAGGAGGGAGGACGAGAGGAGGGAGGAGAGGAGGGAGGAGGGAGGAGGGAAGAGTAGGGAAGAGAAGGGAAGGAGGAAATAGGAGGGAGGAGGATGAGGAGGAGGAGGAAGGAGGAGGGAGGGCGAATGTATTGCGTCATACCTACGTTTTCAGTCTACGTGTTGAGCTTCGTATCAATACGCTACGTGTTGCGTGTTGCGTACCGGGGCAGCTAAGGTGGAGGGGAAATGGGGGGGGACATGGAGAGTGAGGCGAAAGCGGAGGGAAAGCGAATGGATAAAGGGAAAAGGGAACGGCGAGGGGAAAGAGGAGAGGAACGCGAAGGGAGGGGAAAGGGGATGGGAGGGGGAACGAGGAACAGAAAGGGGAGGGGGAAAGGAAAGGGGGGAGGGGAGAGGGAGAGGGGAGGGGGAAAGGGAAGAAAGGGCAGGAAGGGCAGAAAGGGAGGGGAAAGGGAAGGGGGAGGTGGAGGAGGCGCTGAGATCTGGGGGGTGCGATTTTTTGCGCCGCCAAAAGATCTCTCCCGCCTTCGGGCCCCGGGACCATCGCATACCGATCGGGCTCGAAAAATGCGGCAGACAGATACAGAGCGCTCATTTCTGATTCGTGGGCACAACGCTGCCGACCCCATCCAGTCGGCACCTCTCGTTTCTAGTTCGTGGCCGGGATTGGAAATGACCGGAATTAGAATTGACCGGGATGAGTAATGAGTGCGATGTTGCAATTGTTTTGCGACGCGTCGGACCTCCGGGGGAAGGGCGGCGGGGCGGAGACGGGAGGCAGAAGGGACGGGGGAGAGCGAGGGGAAAAAGGGGAGGGGGGGCGGGAAGAGAGGGCGGGGAAGGGAGGGGGGGAAGGACAAGGGCTGAGCTCGCCGAGTACTCAGCTCGCCGAGGACTCCACTCGCCCATGCTCAGCCCGCCCAGAGTTCAGCTCGCCCTGGCTTATCTCGCTCAGGCTCCACGCGCCCAGGCTCAGCTCGCACGGCCGGGAGTGTTGAGCACGAGGGGGAGAGGGGGAGGGGAGAGTGGGATGTGGCAGGATCGCACGCCACTGAGGGGAAAGGGGGGAGAGAAAGTCAGACGGTCCAAAAAGCAAACCCAGGGGGGCCCATCCGAGGGGAACTTTTTGTCACCCTGGCAGGACAGCCGAAGACCTGCCAGGGGCCAGCGACAGGGCCCCCCCTGGGTATCTAGCCGCCAAGTTCCTCTTCCAGATCGTTGTCTGGGTCACGCTCCTTCAGCTTCCGTCCCAATTCAGCGGCTTCAAGGGGAGAAACGGGAACTTTGGCAAAACTCTGATGCCCGCAGCACTGCAGGGCAGTGCCGATTTTTTTGCGAAGGTCGAGAGTGGAAAGGACGTGCCTCATCGAGCACTCGTCTTGTTCCCCACGGTAGGGAAGCGGGGGCGAACAAGTCTCTGGGCTGCCCGAGCAAGGATGATGAGGAGGAGGATGATGAGGAGGAGGATGGCGAGGATGAGGATGATGAAGGAGATGCTGCTGCTGATGACGACGACGATGATGATAATGCTGATGATGCTGATGATGCTGGCGATGATGCTGTTGTGCATGATGATGATGATGATGATGATGATGATGATGATGATGATGATGATGATGATGCTAATGCTTATGCTTATGATTATGATGATGAGGATGATGCTGATGCTAATACTGCTGCTGCTGATGATACTGATGAGGATGATGGGGATGATAATGATGCTGATGAGGATGATGATGCTGATGATGATGATGATGATGATGATGATGATGATGATAATGATGATGATGATGATGATGATGATGATGATGCTGATGATGATGATGATGATGATGATGATGATGATGATGATGATGATGGTGATGATGATGATGATGATGATGATGATGATGACGGTGGTGACGATGATGTTGTTGTTATTGTTGTTGTTGTTGTTGTTGTTGTTGCTATTGCTGTTGAGCTCTCACTACTGAAGAATAGTTATTGAATTATTGTTGTTTCCTCCTCCCGTAACATGTGTGTTTTTCACTTGAAGTGCCCCTCCCAGGGCTTGCACCATTTTTTTATCAGGGGAAATCTTCCTCAAACTGCGCCCCTGGCCCCCAGTTTACAGCAACAACGGCTCCCGCCTGGTATTTCCTTTCGGTTTACTAAGGAATCGCGCTCTCGCTAGGGACTTCCTTACAATTTATCCATGAATCGCGCTCTCGCCTGTGAGTTCCTCTCAATTTATTCAGGCGCCACGCCCTTGCCATTCAGGAATCGCGATGTCGCCCGAGACTTCCTGGCGAATCATGCAGGACGCACGCATTCGCGTAACATACATGTTTTTATTTGAAATGCCCTTCCCGGGGCTCGCTGTGCTTTTACCCTGGAAAATATTCCTGCTCAAACTGTGCCCCTGGCCCCCGGTTTACAACAACAACGGCTCCCGCCTGATACTTCCCTGCAATGTATTGAAGAATCGCGCTCTTGCTAGGGACTTCCTTGCAATTTGAAGAAGAATCGCGCTTTCGCCTGACACTTCCTCGCAATCTATTCATGCGTCGCGCTTTCGACACTCAGGAATCGCACAGTCGGTTGGGACTTCCTCGCAATTGATTCAGGCGCCGCGCCCTCGACACTCAGGAGTCACGCTCACGCTTTGGATTTCCTGACGAGTCCCTTCCTTCCATCCGTCCTCTCTTCCCCTGCCTTAGGTGCTGCACGAAGTACACGTTTCAGGTAAGAAAGTATGTACCACCAAGGGGATGTTGAAGACGAAGAGGGTGGGTCTCGAGAGTTTGGGATATAAGTGTCGAGTGGCACGCGAGCAGACAAGAGCGAACAGTCTTAAAATGATTGCTGTTGTTGATTGGGTTGTTGTTGTTGGAGGTGGTGTTGGTGTTGGTGTTGGCGTTGGTGGTGTTGTTGGTGGTGTGGTGGTTGTTGTGTTGGTGTTGGTGTTGTTGTTGCTGTTGTTGGTGTTGGTGTCGTGGTTGTTGTTGCTGTTGCTGTGTT